CAAAATCAATTTTCCCACAAGACTTTCTTCAATGCCACAATTACGTCATTTAGTATGCTCCTCTTGTATACTGACCAGCGCATTGCTGATTAAAACATTCATCTTACTCTACCTCAGCATATCAATACGCTTTTTAGCAGCAACCACGTAAAAAAGCATGAACCTGGGCTCCCAGATAATCACGAGATCATGCCACAGCATATTAATCAATACTGAGTTAGTCTCCATAGCTAGATCTAACTTAGGATATTGATCACTATGCCGTTACTCCGTGTGCCGGATCGCTGATGTGCCCAATTACCTATATATGCATGTGCCGCTTCACCGTTCCCCACATTTGTGTCGAGTTTCACTCGAGGATAGGAAGAAGGCGTTCCTCCAATATCAAAATCAAGTCAAATCGCTCCAACTATCGTGCAGTTAGATCCACGTCCAGGGCACTCTATTTGCTTAGTCCATACAAAAAGAAGTAGTCTAAACCGAATTCGAATCAACACTGTGTCTCTGCACTGTGTGTCTACACAGCATCTATCTGTAGCGTCTCTTCGGCATGGTGACACTATGCGGGTCACCATCCTGGTTCTTCTTTTGCATCCTTTAGTGTTCCGCTTCTGCAACCTCTCCAACGAGCTTCATTGTATACGGTTCCGCCATCCCATCTCGGGCATTATGCAATACGTTAAAGAGTTTAAAATTACAATAAATAATCGCATAATGATTTCCCACCAGCATAAAGAGACTATCTAAGAAGCTTGATTTGGTTGGTTTATAAGGAAATAAATTAGATAAAAAAGCAACTTCTATCAGCAATAAAGGCATACGTCTAAAATGAGCATACAGGTGAAGTGCCCTTTTGATTTTAACTATTGTCTGCTTTATTAGTAGGAGATAAATTAATCTGGCCCGAGGCTATTTTCCATTTTTTATATGTATAATACCTACTATAAGTAAACAAGGGAGGCGCCACAGTAGTGATGAGCAGAAAGGATTATACAAAGAAAATGGAAAATAGTATAGGGGCCAGAACAACTTATCATCTGTTAGCAAAGAAGTGTATATTTAAAATAAAAGGATGATTGCGGAAAAAGCTGAAGGAAATGAGTACGAGGAGGGAAATTGACAGATGTACTAGTGCACTAATACGAAAGTAACAAACGGTTTTCCGAAAATACACAAGGAAGGTGAACATTTGAGAAGGATATTAGGCAACAAACAATTAACGAAATTCCTCCACTTTAGCGACAGTTGACCAAATAAAGACACAGAACGGTCTGAATAGGTAGATGGGTCATATGAAGGGTGGTTGAGGGATAATGATGCAGCGCTAAATGCTTGGATAAAAAATAGGAGAGTATAAATGCCGCAACATCAAGGAGATTGCCTTCCATTGTCACTTTGATTAATAGAAACTCTGTGCTAAGGACGGTGCCTTTCATTGAAGATGCCGACGAAACATCCGCAGACGTATCAAGCCAACGATCTGATTCTGGAAATTATCATGAATACCATGGCAAATAAAACAGGAATAAGTAAATTGGGTGAATTCACCCTAGTATTCACTGGAAGTCTCGAAACCCTACTTATAAACAGAAAATTAGACTACGTATGCTACATAAGGTCTACTCGTTTCTCCGACCAAGTTGTGAGGACGAGGTCAGAACAACACTAAACAGCCAAAAGAAACTGTAAACAAAACTTAGGCCCCACCATCTAGATCTTCCTATATAAGATACATAAGGGTCTAGAAGAGATTATAAATATATAATCAAAATAATGTAGCTTAAGATATAAGCGATTCTAGAAGTAATGAAGATGCGACGCCCAAACTAGTAAAAGCCTGTGAAAAATTATCAGTTATGTGATGCCACTTGGTGATGGAATATCCCAAGCTCTACAAATTTGCGTCCCTAGGCGTAAGGCCAACACAACTTTATCTAATCGGAGAGTATTGACAGTCGGATATGGGCCACTGATGGCTCGTAAAGATATTTCTTCGTCTTGTGGACTGTTTCTCGTAAGTGATTCTTTCTTTCTTCTACAAAGTTAAGCTAGCACAAAATGGATACACATATATGCTCATGAACGACTGCATTGGCAAGCTTCAGAGCCCAAAGAAAAGTTTACATTTCCCCCCAAATCAGCCCTTTGGGGTCCACCCTTACGTAGAAAGGGGAATTCAAGCTTGTAGAATAAAGCATATTAATTATTTAAAATTCTATAAAGAATATTAAAATATGTCAAGCATGATCTACCTCATTAGGCATTTTATCAGAGAGATCTTGGTCTGTGGGCGTATCGATTAAGTGCCAAGCCTTGAGCAAAATTAGGCGATCTAGACGGCGATGTCGAGGAAGCTCTAAGGCAAGCTGACAAGAATCGAAAGCTTTATTGGAAGAGCTATAGCCCTCAAGCTCCAGTTTTTGAGATGAATCTATTAACTCTGTGGCAAATGAATCGTCAACATTATCCACAGATGCCATGGAATTCCATACGACATTACCAGGAGCTCGCTGCGTATTAAAGAGTTGGGAATATCTTGATTGTGGACTCACAAGTAGCCGAGAGAGATCAAGCAACGAGGCTTTGTAGCTAGTCGGCTGATTCCTAATCTATTAAGTACACAAAAAATGGATATATAAAAATAAACAAGATGAGAAGTTTTGCATAAAGAGGAAAGAAGCTGACGAGTTGCCAAAAAAAAATAATTTTCCTGAAATTTATTTCTCTGGTTGATTGATTAAACTCCAAAGCTAGAGAAAATAATCTAGAATAGTCGGGAATTAATTACTTGAATTTCTGAATAAAAAGTGAATTCATCCCAGGATGAATAAGAAAATAAGAGACTGATATTTGATTACAATGGCATGAGTAAGCCTCAGGCTGCCATTGAATTCGACTTAGCTTTGATTCTAAAAAAATATGTCTATCCAGGCTGAATTGCAGTTAGCTGGATCCAGTTTTGGTCGAAATATGGCTACATGTTGCCATATCGCAACAGTCACAGGTTTCAATGAGTCACGGGCAAAACGTGATTTTATAGACTAGCTGAACCTTTCACACATCAAGCTTGTAGTGAGAATATCGATAAGACAACTTTTTATTTGCCATCACAATTGACAACTTTATCGTTAAAATCTCAATAAGAGTTTTAATATGAGATGTATTCACCCAGCCCTTCATCACCTCAAACGAAATTGGGTGATTTACTGATAGTCACGAAAACAATACTTAATTCGAAAAATAAAGTATAGTAGTTGATTTTTATGACAAATATACGTTTGCTTCATCGACAATCCGACCAAAAGAATATGATATGGCAAAAAGGCCGGGCCTTCCTTGAAAATTCACACTTGCCATGTGACCCAAAAGGCGCTCGTGGCAGTGTAGCCGAGTGGTTAGCGTGTCAAGCTCCCATCCTGTACTGTCTCGGTTCGACTCTCGTTGAGGGTGCTGATAAGACCGATGCGAGATCGAAAATGCCGTCCACCCTGGATGAAAACAACTTTTGGGAAATCAAGGCTATGGGAAAATTCTATGGAAACGTCAGCTCAACTCATATCATTGTGAGAAAATTCTTCTTCTACCAGTCCTTCATCACCTTAAACGAAATTGGATGAAAACATCTCATATTAC